TTTCTCTCTTCATGTATATATAGGTGCCTCATTCAAGGACCCTATTTAGCCTTGACTTGCAGAGAGTCCCAGTAAGGAAGTATTTCCCAATTAAGTGGATTAATCTCAAAAGAGCAAGCATTAGGCTGCTACTAGGATAGGACCTGCCGAATATGGGGTACTTTGACGTAGTTGGCAGGCTTATGCAATGTATGATCCTATAATGTAACTAAACCCCTATCATTTTTTTGCCTAGGTGAGGTGTTTTTAAATAAAACTATTACAATCTCTAAGATTTGAAATCATTGTTTAGTGAATAAGCGAGTGCGTTGGATTCTGGATTCTGTATATATATATATATATACACATGCACACACAAACAGCACTTTCCTCAGTGTCCACAATATTAATTTAAAATAATGTGTGTCAGATGCAGCTTCTTCTTGAGATGTGTGTTGTCCTCATTCCAATAACCAACTGTTTATTAGATATACATCTGGAATAGAGCCCAAACTTCATTTATTGATAGAGGATATAAAAAATGCACACAAGGTACTCACAAGGAAGGTGCCATCAAATAGTCACTTGCCCAACAGTATAATCAGCATAAAGATGTAGAATTGCCAGCATCCTCATTAAGTTCCTGGGTCCGCCTTACCAAACCTGTATATCTGGATTACAATCCAAAAGCACAGACAGCGATCAACTAATTCCTACGCGTTTCGTAGGAGTGCTCCTACTTTGTCAGGGTTTTGAGTACCTTGTGTAGATTTTTTTTGTATACTATTGTGGTTTCCTGGGTTCCAGATGTATATCTTCTAAACAATGGTGATAAACAACCTGAGAGCTAGTACCAATTATTTCTCTTTGACTGCATTCAACAGCGAACCCATAACATCATGCTGCAGTCACAATGCGTGCTCCTCACGGCACCGTGCGAAAACGGTCATGATGATCCTTCGATGGACTCATTTTATATTGTTTGCCTATGTTGCACTGTTTTGTGATGTCTGACTCTTGTGACATCACAGCCCTCTGTAACCAGTCACAGCTCATTATAGAGCATTTATACTTCTTGGTTGTCCTTGCTGACTTGCCTTATCATGGATTCTGTATACCTAAAATTGTGTGAATGTATAGAGATTTACTGTTTTTCGACCTTGGCCTTTCTGACTATACTTGCTCTCTGTAATCTTGACCTTGGCTTATTTTTCACTTTTGTGTAGTTCTAATAACCTTGACCTTGGTCTAATACGGGTTTACTCTTTGTCCACTTTGATACATTTTTTTCGCGGTCACTAGCCTGGCCACTCTAAGAACCCTTACATACTTCTGCCCTGTGTCTCTTAGGTTTTCATGTTATGGTACGCTATTCCTGACAACTGCATTATAAATTGGGGTGTCCCTTCCAAGCAAGGGAGTTCATACCTCCCAAGTATTCCTATTTAGGAGGGGCAGTCTCTATTATAGACTCAGAAACCTCTTTCTTTTTTAACGATGCCTCCTTTTCTCGAGCTACTTCATATGTTGGTGTGTCTGAGTATATAGCAGAACGTCACAATAAAACTCACAATAATGTGTCTTTAAACTACAATAAATGTTTCTAGCAATCATACAAAGTGTAAAACAAACTGAGTGGCAAAAGCCACCACCAGTAAATACAGTGACGTGCTTACAAAACAGACACAGGTTCATGAAATAAAAATCACAGATGTCTTTGATCTTTTACACCGTCTCTAGCAACCAGTCTAATAATTGAATAAATGGTTATCAGTAAGTAATGAAGTCATAGATCATTTCCTGGAATAGCCTTACCCATAGACACACCTTCAGCTACACCCCTAAAATAAAAGTGTTGCTCTTGAATTGTTAGTAGATAATATATGATAAGCCAACAACTTTATTTAGAGAAAACTTATACGAAATTGTTATTATTACTATTATTATTAAAGTGCAAATGTAATGGTGCAAATGTAAAGGTATTCACATAGCAATAGCTACAGAAAAGAAAAGAAAAACCAGACACTGTAATGCAGGAAATGAATTGTTGAAGCTTGTTATAGAATGCATTCTGTTGATGTGACAAAAGGATTTTCTCTTCATATAACAATCCAGGTGACTGTGGTCCCCCCATACAGTCGCCTGTCCTTTTACAGTAATAGTGGAGCCATTTTAAATGGTGCAGAAGGGAACTATTAAGAATGAATTTCTGTGCTTTGTGCTAGCCGTCTGGCTGCTGGCTTGGAATAAATAGCCCATTTATGTCAGATCCAGATGTTTAAGGGTCGAATTAAAGGCATCTACAATTAGACCCTCAGTGTAAGCAAGTCCCGATGGATTTAACAGGGTATAACGTGTTAAAGGTCCTACACTACTGGAGAAATGTCTTGATAGGTGGATAGATGGATATAATTGGGATATTCTTAGGGTAAATATGTATATGTTGGCTATTTATTTAAGTTGCAGATAAAAGAACACAAATGTTCTGGTACAAATGTGGGGCCCAGGATTTAATGCCTTCCTGACGGCTGTGCATAAAGCATGCTGTACAAATTAACTCTTTAAAACAGGTTTCTTTTTATTCTTACTGGGAGAGAACACGTAAGATAGCTGACATTTATGAGTACAAGATGGCTGTCAGGAAGGGCCAATCCCTGTCTCTGCATGTACGATGGCAGTTCACTTTCAGTTCATGTACGATGGCCTGGCCAGGCCAGACCGACCCACCCAGTGTAGCACTCCCTATCTATAGATACCAGAAAAACAGAGCACAATGCCATATTTGGGGAAAACAAACTGAACTTAAAATCAGCCCTATCCTCATTCCCCCTCGATCACATTCTGCATGCCCCTTACTTCTGTTCTAAAACTATTTTGCTTCGTAAATTTTTCTTTACATGTTGCAAACACATGCATGTAGGTCATGGTTATGATTACCTGTTAATTTGTTCATGGGATTATGAATTTATTTAGTTCGTACAAAGGTAGAGACACATACATTCAGACAGACAGAGCAATTAGAATGAATGTTGCTGTGTGGTTCTGATGCTGGCATTATATTGACCAATATTGGATCTAATGTTATATACCAGAGGTGAGCGGTGATGTCAGAGAAGACCTTGTAGCTGGTAAGTGGAAAAAGGGTAATTTAATCGTTAATTCTTTGGGTGCAGAGGGACACAGTTTTGTATTCCTGACACTGTTGTGTTCCTTTAATGTGGATATGGTACTTGGAATGTGTATGTATAATATTGTGGATGAAGCTGTAACCCAACCTACAGCCACATAATTTGCCAGTCCAGAATAAAAGTTCCAGGCTGTAGCCCATGGAGCAGCGCAGCTACGGGGAATGGGCCTTGACATTGCTAGGAGACAGGCATAGGAGGGGTGTAATGTAAGGGGTTGGCTAGAATAGCTGGTGGTGGGGTTTTGGGTTAGAGGAGTATATATCGTGGCCATTTTAGATCAGTAGCCATCTTAATTAATCCTCACTTATCTGTTTTGTGCAGGCTGTGTGGTCTCTCTTTCTTGTATCTTGCTGCAGTTTAAAGAATGGAGGACTGGCTGGCTGGTGTCGATGCTGCTGTACAGCAGAGGGGTGTTTCCTGGCTCCAGGAGCATTTGGCAGAGGCCCTGGTCCCATCTGGGCATTCTTCTTCTGGGTCCACGGCAACAGCTAATGTGCCCCCTGGTTGCCCCACGAGGAGAACCTGACCGCCGCAAAAATTGAGCCCCAGTGCTGGCTCCACCGGGAAGAAGAGGGTGAGTCGTCCCTGGACCTGAGGCCGGAGGCTACTGTGAGCGGCGGTCTGTGTGTACCCCTGGGAACAAGGCTGAGGCTGCACATTTGGGCCACAAACAGGTATTGGCTGGAGGTGGCAAATGTTCGGTTTGCAAACAGGTGAGCACAGAGGTTGGCATACGTTTAAGCTGCGAACAGGCACATAAAGGAACTAGCGAACGTTCGGCCCTGGCCCCTTGTCATGCCAAAAGCATGAGTTGGTGTTTGATGTGTGTTTATATATGTTAAGAGTTGTTTTTTTGTAAAGCTTGGGATGACATTTATTGTGGTCTTTGATCTTGCACCAGGCCTAGACCATAAAACATCTAGATAGCCATCACCAGAGCTGGACACAAGGAATTTCATAGAGTGGGCAATAGACTGCCAGCCCAGCCCCCTCTGATCCCCTCCAGGGGTCTGCCCACTGAGAAAGAACTAGTTTAGATATATGAGGGTGTTGGACTATCCAAGGAGGTCAGTTATTCATTTTTCTTTTGTCAGTAACTTCTAGGAGACCTATACCATCTAAGACTCCCACAAGAATTCTATATGGGGTAAATATATGTAAGAAATTTCTTGTGTTTTCTCCTATTTTATTTTATGTACTGTTTTGCAATTTGTTATCTGTATGTCATTTATTTCTGTATTTTGTACTCAGCACTGTGAATCCTTTTTGTCAGATTAAATGTTTACTTAATCAGCTTGTGTCTCTGTTCTCTATGAGCTTCACTCTCCAGAGGAAAGCTCAGGTAACCACGTTACCAAAAAGGGTTAACTATATATGTTTTATCAGTAAAAGTAGAACTGTGATACTATAATTCTCCTGTGTGTGGGGTAACCTAAGACGCCCGGGTTTAAAAGTCTTGGTGGTGGCAGTAGTACTAAGGGGATAGTGTAGAAGGGATTGCAGGGGTTAATTGAGTGGTTGCTGGGACTAGCAACAGGTAACCAGGGGTCTGGTGTCATTAACCCTGTCACTTCCACACTCTCCCCACTGTCTCGGCTGGGCCTATAGCCCACGCTCGTGACAAACTGGCGGCAGCTAGTGGGATATATTTAGAGATTTTTAGTGCTTGCTAGATTTTACCTGTAAAGGGGGTCTTAGCACTAAAAGAAATTGCATACTTGTTTTGTGTAATTTCCAAAGACCAAGCTCAGTGCTGATTTAAAATACATACAAAGTGCAAAACAGTTCTCCCCTCCCATCTTTTGTTTTTCTTTCTCTATCCTATTTGTGAATATGGAGGCCTATCGCAAACAATCAAAAGAGGCCTTGGAATTGTTGTACCAAGAAAAGAATTTACCAACTTTTGGCAAAAATAAGGCACAACTTATTGCTGACCTTGTGGAGGCTGACAGCCATATTTTCCAGCCAGAGACGGATACTGAAAGGGTTACCGAGCTCCCTACTACTGCAGGAGTGTTGCTTACTGAAATGCCTGGTGGTTGTACCCCTCAAAACATTAAGGACATTTGCTCAACTGATTTATTTCGGCAACTGATGGCTGCAAATCCTCAGGAGGCCCTGCATGTGATGATCCAACAGCAGGCTGCAGAAAGGGAATCTGCAGAGAGGCTAGCCGAAAGGGAGGCACAAAGGAGACATGAGCTGGAACTTGCTAAACTACAATTTACCCTTCAGTCCTCACTGAACAGCAATGCATCAGAGTCCAGCACACGTAGGCTCCGTAAGGATGATTTTCCTTCCCTCGAAGAAGGGACAGATTTGGATGTATTTTTAAAAAGTTTTGAGAAAGTATACAGGCAGCATCAACTACCCTCAGACCAGTGGGGCAGATATTTAACTCCACAACTGAAAGGGAAAGCCTTGGATGTGTTTGTGTCCCTTCCCCCAGAGACTGATAACAACTATGAGGCAATCAAATCTGCATTGCAAAAAACTTTTAACCTTACTCCTGAGTCTTACAGGAAAAAGTTTAGGAGTATGCAGCAATGCCCATCATCCAGCTGCATTATATATATTGCACAATTAGAAACCACGTTCCGGCAATGGGTAACAGGAGTACAAGCTACTACCTATGAAGCCCTTAATGACTTAATGGTCCTGGAGCAGTTCTTGCAGACCCGGAGCCCTAATGTACGAGAGTGGATTTTGGAAAGAAAGCCAAAAAAATGCTAGGGCTGCTGCAGAACTGGCAGATGACTATGCCGACATCCATGCACCCACATCCAGGCGTGGACTTGTGTCAGCTGCTACTTCGACCTGGAGAGAAGCTACAGTTCAAACACCACCTGTAAGATCTGCAGTGAGAACTTCACCACCGACTGCCAGCGTAGCCGGGGCTATGTCAAGTGAGTCAGATGCCCGCCATTGTTTTCGATGCAACCAGATTGGTCATCTGAGCAGGACTTGCCCCACTAGGAATATGCCCTCACCAGTCCGTGGAGGGGCACCATCAGTATTGCTTGTGGGTGGGTCCATGGGGAAACGAGAGGATAACCTGCAGAGTGTAATTATGGGTGACCGAGTGACCATGGGACTGAGAGATTCTGGAGCTTCCTTCACCCTGGTGCGACCTGAAGTGGTGAATACGGAGGACATAATCCCTGGAAGAACCATGTCCATCAAAGGAATTGGGGGTGTATGCCCCGCTGTGCCCTTGGCACGTGTGTACCTTGATTGGGGTGCAGGCAAAGGTTTGCGGGAAGTGGGGATTTCGGAGGATATCCCTGTTAATGTTCTGTTGGGGAATGACTTGGGCAGGATGCTCTGTCACTATGCTCCAGCGGACACTGATTGCTGGGAGGGAGAGCAGGGTGTGGATAAATATCTACCTGTAACTGAACCAGTGATGTCTACCAAATGTGAGATAGGGGTGAGTAGTGATGTGCCTGTATTAAAATACTGTGAGGCTGGGATGTCAGAGAGTAAGGGAGAGGAGGAAGGTGAGAGCCAGGGTAACAAGTCAGCAGTGTTAACAAGTCAGCAGTGGGTCACAGCTGCAGAGTCTGAGGGGCTATGTGAGATTGCGAGAGGATGGCCTGCCTTGGAGAAGAAATTATGTGAGTGTGTGCAAAATTCTGTATCTGATCAAGGGGGGTCAAATGTGTCCTGTGAAAATGTATGGGAAAAGCCTTCCAGCGAGAGGGGGCTGAATGAATATATGTGCCAATATGTGCCTGAAGCAGATGTATGTGATGATGTGGGTGAAAATGTGAAGGGACAGCAAGGCTATGAGGGAGGGCAGAGGTGTGAGCTTTACTCTGCGGCAGGCTTAGCCAGTTTCCAAAGTTCGGTATGTGTGATGACCTGGAGTGAAAGTGAGGGGCACGGACAGACTCAGCCTGTGGGTCCAGGAAGGATGGCTGCAGGGAAACATACTGTTGGAGGAACCAGGAACCTTGTCAGTTTATCACAACTCACGCATACACCTAAGCAACTTTCTGATTGTGAACCAAAGGTTCAGAGTCTGATAGTGCAACAAGCCCAGCAGACAGACCGAAAAATGAAAGAGATGATGGGTGTTGATACAGTGCATCTATCCTGGGGGTGTTCTCTGTCTGCTTTTTTGTGTGCTTACCGGGGAGTGCTGCAGAAATCCATTGGTTTCTTCCCTTTACAGCTACTACATGAGCGCAGTGGGTGTGGTTTAAGGGATGTTACCAGAGATCGATGGGAAATTGAAATCAGGCGTGTTTGTTGAGGGTGTAGCTGTGGTATGGACTGATCACAACCTGCTGCAGGTGACAGGTAACAATGATAAACTGCTCCATTGGAGCCCTATCCTCCAACAGTATAATTTCACTGCCCGGCACAAAAAGGGCAGCTTGCCTGCGGCTGAATTTTTCTGTCCACCATCTTAAGGGGGAGGTGTCATGCCAAAAGCATGAGTTGGTGTTTGATGTGTGTTTATATATGTTAAGAGTTGTTTTTTTGTAAACCTTGGGATGACATTTATTGTGGTCTTTGATCTTGCACCAGGCCTAGACCATAAAACATCTAGATAGCCATCACCAGAGCTGGACACAAGGAATTTCATAGAGTGGGCAATAGACTGCCAGCCCAGCCCCCTCTGATCCCCTCCAGGGGTCTGCCCACTGAGAAAGAACTAGTTTAGATATATGAGGGTGTTGGACTATCCAAGGAGGTCAGTTATTCATTTTTCTTTTGTCAGTAACTTCTAGGAGACCTATACCATCTAAGACTCCCACAAGAATTCTATATGGGGTAAATATATGTAAGGAATTTCTTGTGTTTTCTCCTATTTTATTTTATGTACTGTTTTGCAATTTGTTATCTGTATGTCATTTATTTCTGTATTTTGTACTCAGCACTGTGAATCCTTTTGGTCAGATTAAATGTTTACTTAATCAGCTTGTGTCTCTGTTCTCTATGAGCTTCACTCTCCAGAGGAAAGCTCAGGTAAACACGTTACCAAAAAGGGGTTAACTATATATGTTTTATCAGTAAAAGTAGAACTGTGATACTATAATTCTTCTGTGTGTGGGGTAACCTAAGACGCCCGGGTTTAAAAGTCTTGGTGGTGGCAGTAGTACTAAGGGGAATAGTGTAGAAGGGATTGCAGGGGTTAATTGAGTGGTTGCTGGGACTAGCAACAGGTAACCAGGGGTCTGGTGTCATTAACCCTGTCACTTCCACACTCTCCCCACTGTCTCGGCTGGGCCTATAGCCCACGCTCGTGACACCCCTGCGAACAGAAAGGTTGGAAAACTGCAGCACGTTTGGGCCCCAAGCTGGAGGGCATTTCGGGCTGTTAACAGGACTCCAGGATGCCGGATTTGGGCCGCATTTGAGTGGAGGAGCAGGAATCGCCCCAAAGGGTTGGCAGGAGAAGGGCAAGGACAGCCATGGCAGGCTCTGCAGCAGGCAATGGAGGCGCTGGGAGTGCTGTCTTTCGTGAGAGGTGGTTCCGGCTGGTGACACACTGGGTGAGTCGTCCCCCATCCCGATGGGTTGCAAGTCACGGGGTAGCAGGCGGTTGCTGGTGGGAAGGCGGGACATCGATAGGCTTCTCCTAGGAGGTCACGGGAGCGGAGGTTGCCTCGCAGGTCAGCATCCAGATCACCTAGCGGGCATAGAGGGGGGCCAAGATGAGTGCACAGGGAGGAGGACCTGAGTTGGACAATGGGTAGGTGGGCTTCCACACCCATTAGATCCCCATCACGGGTGGGCATGGAGCACAGCACTCAAAAATATCATGTCAGGCCCCCCGGGGGTGCTGGGTGACAGGGGTCTCACTATAGAACCCTAAGTGGCTGTAGTGATCAAGCCACTATGGCGGGGGGTCCCTACCTGGGAGCGTAAGTTGGAATCCCCGTTACGACTACTGACCACTAGTGCAGCAGATCGGGCTCATCTAGCGGGAGTTCTTGGGGTGACTATGAGGAACAGCTGGTGGGGAGTGGCACGGCCACAGGGGACAGGAGGCCAGGCGCAGAGGGGATATGTCTTTCCCCATGTCCCAGCGAGAGAGTAGAGCGGCCAGGACTCAGCTGAACAGCCTACCCAGAGTCTTTTCTTATTCTAGGTAACCAAGACAGTCGCCCATGGTCCGTGTGAGACCTTGCAATGTGGATCTACGGCTGGAGACGCCATCACGCACGGGCTTAAACGATGTCAGGCTGGACACGGCCTTCAGAGGCAAGAGGTTCCGGCAGGGAGTTGTCTGCTGCTAAACCTTCTGGGAACCTTTTAGATGGTCTCAAGAAGTTTCTAGACTCATGGAGCGGGGGTTCAGGTTTATGTGTAGTGTTTGTTTTTGAATGCGGGGTGTGTGTAGGGTTTATTTTGGTGTTTAACACAGAGGTATGTTTGTATGTAGTGTTGAAGTTTGAATGCAAGGGTGTATCTGTGTGTAGTGTTGGTTTTTGAATGCTGAGATGTACATACACTGCACACACACACACACACACACACACACTGACACATATGCATACGCACCAATAAACAACTTGACACTCATGCAGATACAGACAAAAAGATACACATACTAACACACATGCAGATACACACGCATGTTACATATAGATACACAAATACACACAATGACAACATACAGATACACTGACACACACTAACTACGTATAGATACACAGATACACACAATGACAACATAGAGAAACAGACACACATGTAGATACACAATGACTATATACAGAGGCACACATTTACACACTGACAACTACACATACACAGATACACACACACTGACAACATACAGAGACACACTGACACACACAGACATTGACACATATACACTGACAGACATACTGACACACTCACACTCAGACACACTAACACACACACTAACACACAGACAAACTAACACATACATACAGACACTGACAGACATACTGACACAAACACACATGCAAAATCTACACTTTGACAGCTACCCTCCAGTTTCTTACAGTTTGCTGGTGGGTGGCTTCACAGGGGTCCAGTGTGCTGGCTGCGGTGGCTGGGAGTTGGGGTCCAGCTCTCCTGGCTTTGACCCCTCCGCACTGCTTCTTCTGGGTTCTCCCTCCCGCATTGCTCTGCACTAGCTGGGAGGAAGTGACCGTCACTTCCTCCCACATACTGCCGAAAAGCAGGGGGCCCAGTTGCACTGTTAAAAGGGCCATCTGGCCCCTGCTTACAAATGCCAACCGGGTGGCCCTCACTGCATGGACAACCCAATGGTGTGTGTGCGGGCCCTCTGCCCACAACAATTTATTTTAGGATCGGTGATCCTAAAATAAATTGTTGCGGGTAGAGGGCAAATGGGGCAGTTGCTTTGGGCCCCCCAGGAGTAACTGGGCCCCGGGCAGCTGCCCTGTTTGCCCCGCATTGAAGACCTGGGTGTCACAGAGGGCTTTGCTCCCTGGGTGTCAGGATTACTAGTTGATCCAGCACGTAGAATTGTGTCACACAGATGACTAATAGGTAACGTATTAACGGGCCTTAGAATGGCCGGACTTAACGTACCAAAGAATAGTCAGGATACTTGCCAAGGTCAGGGGATACAGAAAGAGACATAATGATAAGAGAAAGCCAGAAGTCAGGGATACAGAATACAGGGAAGTCAAAATCAAAGCCAAAGTAAAAAACCAGAAGAAACTTGAATCAGGAACGCGCTCTCGGA